TGGGAATGGCAGCACCCAGACCCCCTCCCCAGGACACACAGCCACGCCTGCTTGAGGGTCTGGCCAGAGCTGCAGTGGGATGGGGCCCTTGTTCCTACAGAAACAAGATGCCTTGGACAGGCTCTTGGAAATGTAAATCTGTAATTGAATCACCCATCTCATTGCCACTGGGTTTTGTTTGTGCTGTGTTCTCGCCCTGACCTGACAATAGGCTTCCTGTGGGTAATTACCAGGCAGCACTTGAGAATTCTCATTAAAGGTAATCAGGGTCCTGCTGCTGGGGCTGAACCTGCCGGGGCAGGAGTGGACATGGGGGTCTCGGGGCTCCCTTCGACTTCGTTCCCCCTCCAGGCACAGGGGAGCGCAGATGCTGTTGCTTTATTCTGCTGCTGCAGGAGCCAGGGTGGAAACGAGCTCCCTCCTTCCCATGGCAGCTCCCCTGCTCCTGGGATGCCTTTGTGGGGGCACGGGGCAGGGGAAGGAGCCCCAGGCAAGAGAGGAGGTTTGGCAGTATGTACCAACAAGGACCCCATCCCTATGCTGTGGGGTGGGTACGCTGTGGGGTGGGCACGCTATGGGGTAGGCACGCCATGGGGCACCTCCCAGCCCCCAGGACCCTGTGCCTATTCTCCAGCCTGCCTGTTGCTTCTCCTGCCAGGTTTGGGTTGATGCTGCTGCGCAGATTTTCTTCTCCTTGGGCCCTGGATTCGGTGTCCTTCTTGCTCTCGCCAGTTACAACCATTTCCACAACAACTGCTACCGGTGAGCTCCCGCAGCCATGGGTCCCTGCGGGCACAGGGGCTGCACCCTGTGGGCATGGGGGCTGCACCGGGCACGGCTGCAGTGGAGCCGCATCCTGACAGCTCCTGCACCCCGCGGCCACAGGCTGAGCATCTTTCCCCATTTTACTGATGGTTTTGGTATGCGGGGCTGGAAGAGGGAACCAGCGGGGGTGCAGGCGACCGGGTCAGCTGAGACGGGGCAAGAGCTGTGCTGGAGGGAGGTTTCTGTCGCAGGACACGTCTCCCTGCTTTCTGCTTTCCAGGGACGCACTCATCACCAGCACGGTGAACTGCCTCACCAGCTTCCTCTCGGGCTTCGTCATCTTCACCGTGCTCGGCTACATGGCTGAGATGAGGGACGTGGAGGTGGAGGATGTTGCGAGAGATAAAGGTTTGTCTCCCTCCAGCACAACTGCCCCATCCTGGCCCCACGGTGCCCAGGTGCCCCAGGGCTCTGTGTACCCATCGCGGCTGAGGGGGGCCGGGGTGATGGCCGGCCCTGGGGTCTGCCAGGGTGTGGGGGCTTGTGGCCGGGCGCCGTTCCCAGGAGCGGAGGACCTTGTCTCTCAGCCAGGGCCAGGCACGGCCACTCTGGCTTTGGGGCATCTTCCCCAAGCGCATTCCCACCGGCACCCAGGGCTGTGCCAGAGCAGCCAGTGAACAGCAAACCAAACCGGTGTCCCCTCCCAGGGCCAAGCCTCCTTTTTATCACCTACCCTGAAGCAATCGCCAACATGGTGGGATCCACCTTCTTTGCCATCATATTCTTCCTGATGATGATAACGCTGGGGCTGGACAGCACGGTAGGCACCTCTGTGGAGTGCGACAGCACAGCCATGCAGCCTGGGGCCGTGTCCCCAGTGCAGTCTGAGGATGGCCGTGTCCCATGGCAAATAGCAGGGTGACAAGGGGAGCTATGGCCTCGGGAAGGAGAGCTGCCTGCCTGAGCCCTCCGAGCATGGCCCGAGCAGGGGTGGGGGATGGAGGGATGGGATGGGATGGGATGGGATGGGATGGGATGGGATGGGATGGGATGGGATGGGATGGGATGTCCCCCCTCTGCTCATAGGCAGAGGGGGCCATGAGCGGAGCAGTTTTCTCGGGGAGCAGGACTGTCCCCACATCTCATTTCTCCACCCCATGCTGGTGTTTCCTTTGCAGTTTGGGGGCTTGGAGGCTGTGATCACAGCTGTGATGGACGAGTACCCCCAGGTCCTGGCCGGGCGACGGGAGCTCTTTGTCCTCGGCCTTATCACAGTCTGTTTCCTGGGCTCCCTGAGCACTCTCACCTACGTGAGTACCGGGCACCGCTCCGCTCCCGTCCCCGCCACGCACTTACTCGTCTCTCCAACAATACCTGGTGCGGGACTTTGCCAAAGACCTGCTCCACACCCCTACAGCCGCCCTCCCCTCCCTTGTGCTGTTCCAGGGGGGAGCCTACGTGGTGAAGCTGCTGGAGGAGTTTGGTGCTGGCTGCTCAATCCTGGCAGTGGTGCTACTGGAAACGATAGCTGTCTCCTGGTTTTACGGTAAGAAACTGCCTCTGTTATGAAAAACATCCTGCAGGCACCTACACGGGTATTTAACCCTATGCAGGTGAGTAAATGCCAGGGAGTTTGGGGGCAGAAGCACGTGCGTGACTCCTGGCGAGGCTGGGATGGGCCACGGAGGGCATCGTGTCCGTGTTCTTGTACCCACGTCTTCTGCGGGTCTCCGGGGCTGTGATGGCTCTCTCCTCTGGCAGGGATACAGAGGTTCTCCCACGACGTGAAAGCCATGCTGGGCTTCACCCCAGGCATGTTCTGGAAGGTGTGCTGGGTCGCCATCAGCCCTGCCTTGTTAGGGGTGAGTATCTATAGCCCAAATTGAAGACCAGGTTGTCAACCCCGCTCTGAATGCCCTGCAGGGGAGCTGCTCTTCCCCTCGATGGCTGCTGCTGCTGCCCAGCTCCCCGGGTGCCTGCACCGCTGGCTCCCCTCTCGCTTGCACGGTGTGAACAAGTTGTCGGGAGGGTGAACCGGGGTCCTGGCTGGGGCTGTAGGACATCATGCCCTCCCTCCCTGCCGGCTCCCCATGCTGCTGCTCCAGCCACGGGCAACGACAAGCTGTCCGCAACCCCTGGGACAGCGGGTTTCAATGAAAAAGGGAGCTGGAAGTGCATTTTCCAGCCTCTTCTGGAGCTGTGCTCCAGTACAAAGCTGGCAGCTGGGTGCTCACATGGGCGTGAGTGCGGCCCCGTTTCACCCTCCCGGTCCGCAGCATCCCGTGCTCACACTGGCACGGCCAGCCGTGGCTGCATCTCTGATGGCACTGCGGCGCTGTGCACTGGGCTGGATCCGTCCCCTTTGAAATGCCAGCTCCCCCGGCACTTCAAAGGCTGCCATCTGCGAGAGACAGAGGGGTCTAATCTCACTGGATCTGCAGGAGAAGAGGCCTTGTGAGGATTAATTACGGCTCCAAGCGCTTTGCCCAGGTTATTAAGGGAGAAGTATTATAATCAAAGCAGACAGCAAATGATTTCATTTCAGCACGGGGACGTGCAGCCTTTGCAGGCCACCGTCTCTGTGGGGTTTGTTAGACGAAGACCTCCCAGCCCATACCTAGCGAGGGGTGGCAGTCTGGGAAATGTCACTGCAACGTCCATGTTGGCCTTTCACGGTTAGGAAAGCAGGGGTGGCAGTGGGATGCGGATATAGGGATAACTTCTGGGATGAGCCAGCGCCAGTGCCGGGGCTGGGGAGATGTCGCAGCTGATCTGCTCTCTGTGGGGAGCCAACGGGGCTGGTCTGCCAGAGATGCCCAGCCATCACAAAAGAGCTTTTCTGGCCCCGTGTCGTGTGCACGTGGGTTTTGCGGGCTGTACAGCCCTGCTGCAGCCCTGTGCCTGCTTGTGACCGGCAGTGGAGCATGTCCTGCCGTGGTCCGGCCCCATGAGTGTCCTTCCCTAACATGCTCCGCTTCGTTCGTTACAGTTCATAGTCGTCAGCTCCCTCCTGGACCAGCCACCTCTGACACTCTTTGACTATCAGTACCCGCAGTGGAGCATCTCAGTGGGGTACCTCATAGGAGCATCGTCCTTCATCTGCATCCCCTTCTACATGGTGTACAAGCTCGTCTGGACGCCAGGGTCTCTCAAGCAGGTCAGGAGTGGGGCAGGCAATCCTGCGGCCCCTGCACAGGCTGGGGGTGGGCAGGGACCCCCACTTGGGTCAGCGCGAGACCAGGGCTCCTCAGCATCTTTGTTCATGTGGCAATTAAATCACACCTGGACAGCTGCTTGGAAAAGGGCTCAGAAGAGCATGGCTTGATGGCCTGATCTTTTTAAGTCATATTTCTGAAGCTGTGATTTTGGCTGGGCCAGGAGACAGCAGGACTACATCAGCATGGACCTGGTGGCAGGAGACCATCCCCGACTGTCACCCCTCCTCTCGGCCCACTTTTGGGACACCTCCTGCCCGCTGTGGTCTGCTGCAGGCTGACACAGCCCCAGCCCCGCAGCGAGCGAGATTCTGGTGGGGATGGCTTTGGCACGCCAGGGCAGGCAGCCCTGCCTGTGGCACCAGGCCCTGGTGTGGGAAGGAAGCCCATTGCCTTTTTTCTCTGCCTGCTTACACCCTCCAGCGCCTCGCCATCTGTGTTCGGCCGGAGAAAACAACGCGAGACCCCCAAGCAGAGGCGGTGTGCATGTCACCTGTCCTGTAGCCTGGCGGCACGTCCAGGGGACGCGGAGACTGCTTCAGCTTCCTGCTCCTGCCCCAACAAAGCAATGGGGCAGGCAGCAGAGCAGCC